CAGACCGCACAGCGGCACGTCAGGGTCCCCGAAAACACACACACACAGACCGCACAGCGGCACGTCAGGGTCCCCGAAAACACACACACACAGACACACAGCTGCACGTCAGGGTCTACAAAAACAAACACACAAACACACAAACACACAAACACACAAACACACAAACACACAAACACACAAACACAAACAGCGGCACGTCAGGGTGATCACAGGCACGCAGCAGCTCACAGTGCGAAACCGGCGCGGCCCAGAAGAGCCCGGTTCCGGGACAGCAGGTCCACGCGGAGAGCGAAGAGGCGGGCCGGACTCACCCTGACCGTGTGGGCCTGGCCGAGACGCACCGGGTTGGCCACCTTGACCTGGATCTGGGCGCAGTGGAACGAGCCGAACACCCCCACCACCTCCAGCAGGCCGTCGTCCAGCCTGGGGCACGGACACACGGGGCAGCGTCAGGACCAGAGCCTCGCCCCCAGCTCCCCTGACCCGCCCCGCCACAAGGCCCTGCCCTGCGCTGCCCCGGCCTACCTGGTTGGCGGACAGGGCTCGTCGCCCATGCCCTCCCACAGCCGGCAGCCGCCGCCCCAGTAGCCGATGTTGAGCACGATGATGCCCTCCAGGCTGGGCAGTGGCACCCTCTCGCCGTCCAGCTCCAGCTGCACAGGGAACCAGGGAGAGAGGGCAGCCGTTACTCTGGGGTCACCTGAGGGGGCAGACGCCAGACTCCTGGCTCTAAAAACTGCAGGATCATCCCCAAGAGGCAAAAAGACGAATATGCTAAATGAATACGATCTTTTAAGCAGAGACACGTCTGTTCGTAACACTTCATTCATGGCCAGATGTGCACGTGACACACAGGGGCCAGATGTGCACGTGACACACAGGGGCCAGATGTGCACGTGACACACAGGGCCCGGGGGAAACAGCGCCGGCAGTACCTCCACCCTCTTGTCCAGGTCCCTGCACTCCTGGACCAGGCAATCTTTGGTTCCGTAGAAAAAATACACAGCCTGAAAAACAGGGAGGAGAAGAAGTGAACAGTCCACTCCGGAGCCACAGAGGTCCACCGGGCCAGAGCAGCCCCTGGCGCCAGTCTCAGCAGGCTCAGCGGACCTGCGAACAGGTGACCCCAGCCCCATGGGTCCCCACTCCCACAACGACTGGGAGGACTAGAGGAACTGGGTTCCAGTACGTCACCCAAGGCTCACCCACCAGGCTACGCTGCTCCCACTGTCCGGTAAAAGAGTAATTGAAAAACAGAACAGTTTGGAGATTTTGTAAAAAACGTGACAGTGCCATCTGAAGCCTTCTCTTCTAAGGCTACCAGAGCTGAACCATGTTGTAAAAGCAGTGTGTTATCTGTGTGTTGACCACCCAGCTCCTAAAGTGAGACGTCTGCCTGACATCTGCAAGAGGAACTTTTAAGTTCAATACTTTATTGCCATAACAACTAATAATTTATTTATACAGCACCTTTCCAAACCCAAGGATGCTGTACAAATGATAGTAATACAATAAAATAAATCATACAAGACAGACCAGACCGTAAGACAGTCAAACACAGGCTTTAGTAAAAGGAGAGTTTTAAGGTCAGATTTTAAAGGTCATAGAACCTGTTTCCTGAATGATGTCAGGAAGAGTATTTGGTTCAAGATACAATGAGCAGCAGACCAGCAACAGGAGAACAGAGCCCGCCTAAAGAAACATTCCCAAGAAAAGGACCGATTGCCATGCAATTCGGGTTCTGGGGACACTGGGGTAGTCCTGTCACCCCAGCTGGGTGTCTCCCAACCGTGTGGGACAGAGACCCGCCTCCTGCCCTCTGCCTCACCTTGTTGATGATCCTGCTGTTGAAGAGCGAGGGCACTTTCTCGCGATGGGCATGGAAATTCAGCGCCATCAGTGCGTCCGGCCCCACCGAGAAGTAATTATTCATCGTCAGCACCTGCACACAAAACGCTCGTTTACAGACTCTTCCGCCCTCGCGTGGCTGTGAACTTACCGATGGCTTTCCGTGGTCCAGAAAGAAAAGTAATTCTCATGATATCCACAGTGCTCACCTTGGGCTTCCGGAAGCTGTAGTATCCTTTCGGAGTAACCTGGACCTTCCACCTGGAAAAGACACAGGCAGGACAGCGCTCAGACACTCACCACTCTTGTGCCCAGAGGTTAATTTGCATTTAGGATGAAACAGGCACAAAGCTAAATTTTTAATGGCCTCCAGCAGACAAAATGTCCAAAGTGACTAAAGACGGACAAGCAGGAAGACCCATGAAGGAACCGAGCTGAAACACGCTGACCAGCTCTATGCAGCCCTTTCCTCTAGAACATCCTACCCCCACTGATCAAGAAATTAACCATTTGCCCACAGTGTCCCTGGCATAAAAAATATCAGCCATGCAATTCCTCATGAGCTGTTCTGGACGGTGCAGTGTCTGTGCGTGCTCTGTTTTGTGCCTAGCGTTGTGCGTCAGACCTGTTGTGTCTGGGCTATGGCCGGAGGTGCTCCAGAAGGCAGGACTGTGATGGGACAGCAGGACCCTTCTGGTGTGAGACGGAGGGAAGGCCCAGCAAGCAGCTGACATGCACCTGAGCTGAGCCCGAGGCAGCCAGTGAAGAAACTCCTGCGCACCGGGCAGAGGGAGCGCACAGCCTCACCTGTCCAGCTTGACAGCCTCCGCGTCCAGGATGTTGCGCAGGACCTGCTCCACGGGGATCTCGCCGGCGTACCCCGCGCCCCAGCCCAGCGAGTTGGACAAGTCGTTCCCTGTGCCCAGCGGCAGGATGGTCACCCGAGGCACGAACTGCTCCTGGCCCTGAACCCCACAGGGAACAGACAGAACCGGACAGTGCATTCACCACAGGGGTGCTCAGCTGCACCGGCTCGACAAGCCACCGGGGGGCAGCAGACCACACCTGCACGCAACCTCTCCCCGCGAGGAGACACCCCCCAGAGTGCACCCGGCAGGAGCAGCGGCCCAGAGAGAGTCAGAAGGGGCGCGGGGGATTTCAGACACGAGGGGCACAGTTTCCTACTGCAGGGAAACAGCCCCCAGCGCGCGTTACCGCAGCCCCGCCCCGGTGCGGCCACTGACCTTCAGCTTCATGGTGTCAATGGCGTCCAGCACCCAGCCCACCGTCCCATCGCCCCCGCAGACCAGCACGCGCGCACAGCCTGCAGGCAGCAGGGCGCAGAGCTGCAGGGCCTTGGTGGGGGGGAACTGCGTCAGGTCGAACACCTGCAGGGTGAGAGGGAGCCGAGCGCAGAATCAGCACAGACCCCGAGCGCAGTGCTCTTTCTGCACGCACGCACAGCCCCGCCCTGCTGGACACGAGTCCCCGCAGCACAGGAAGCCTTCGGCCAGCCAGGTTGCTCACAGGCCTGAAGGGGGCGTTACCACGCCAGCCTGTCAGGAGAAAGAGAGCGATAAAGCTGCCTATCGGCCAGCAACACACCAGCCCCCCTCCACCACCACAGCGCCGCGCCAGCCCCCCGTCCCACAGCGACAGCTAAACCCTCTCAGTGCAGCCGAGACCAACAGCAGCTCCTGCCGACTCCAAGAGACACCAAACCTCCAGCTTTCTCGCAGGAAGAGAGACTGGTTCACTGGAGCATTTGTTAGATAGGAATGCTCCATGCCCATTTCCTGAATAACCTGCACTGCATTTCCTGTGTTAAGCAGAAATTTAGATCAACTTTATCTGTAATATTATTATACTATTACACTATAATTTTGCAATTAATAATATTAAACTTAGAGTAAAACTTCACATGTTACTTTAATTTAATATTATTAAAACTTTAAAACTTTTAAAAAAGCATGCCTCAAAAGTGAGCAGTTCTGCTCTCCTTAGAGTCTTCGACACTGAGTATCAAGTTAATTTTTTCAGGTGTTCAGTCTTGCATGATGTCAGACAACACTGCTCATGAAGTTGGCTGTAAGGAGCAGCACTCGCCTGTCCCGAGTCGCTCGCCTGCGCAGTCGCTCGCCTGCCCCGAGTCGCTCGCCTGCCCCGAGTCGCTCGCCTGCGCAGTCGCTCGCCTGCCCCGAGTCGCTCGCCTGCCCCGAGTCGCTCGCCTGCGCAGTCGCTCGCCTGCCCCGAGTCGCTCGCCTGCCCCGAGTCGCTCACCTGCCCCGAGTCGCTCACCTGCACTGGGTTCAGCAGCGTCTTGAACTCCCCCAGCAGCACCTCGGCCATGTTGTTCCCGCTGCGCGTGTTGGCCAGGACCAGGACAGGCATCCAGTTCGGGCCGCAGGCAGCCGCCAGCTGCGCCCGGAGAGAGAGGGAGAGGAGGAGGAGGAGGAGGAGGGAGGCGTCAGGCTTCCACACTGGCACCACGGCCGCGACCCAGACCGCACGACACCGACACCAGCAGCAGACGTGCCACCGAGGACGCCTGAACTCCGACTGTCACCGAGGGGGAGGGCTCAGAGCTAGCCAATCAGACGCCACCCTGTCCCTCCGACCACAGAGCAGGAACAGTCCCAGGACTCTCTGGGACGAGCACGGCCGCTCCCGCAGGACCACCAGCTGCTGCCAGAGCACGCGCATTCACGCCACATCTGGACATTCACTGACAAATCACTGTCGATTCACAGAGCGGCACAGCGCTGGCCCGGGGGGACCGAGGGAGTGCGTCACGTCTGCACAACACCTACACCAGAGTACCATTCACCCATTATAGTTCATCTTTTAATACCATAATCGCATCCAAATTAGTCACCAAGCTCGGACCTGGGCCTTAGTACTTCTCTCTGTAACCGGATCCTGGACTTCCTGACGGGCCGACCTCAATGTGTGAGAACAGGCAACCACACCCCCTCAACACAGGAGACCCCAGGGCTGTGTGCTCAGAGCTCTCCTCTACTCCCTGTGCCTAGCCGCACAATCGTGGGCGAACAGCTCCAACTCCCTCTTCAAGCTTGCTGACAGCACCACCACTGCAGCTCTGCTCAACAATAATGATGAAACAGAGTACAGGAAAGAGGGTAAGGACCAGGGGGTAAGGACTTCTCCCTCAACGTCAGCAAAACTAAGGAGCTGGCCGTTGCCTTCAGGAAGCAGGGAGGAGGCCACGCCCCTGTCTACATCAACGGGGCTGCTGTGGAGAAGGACATTCACATCACCAACACCCTGGCCTGGTCCCATCAAGTAGATGAAGTCAGACCATCTACTTCCTCAAGTGACTCAGGAGATTTGGTATGTGTTCAAAAGCACTCACAAATTTCTACAGATGTACTATAGAAAGCTATTTTCACTGGATGCATTACAGTTTGGAATAGCATATACTCATCTTCTGAGCGTATAAAATGACAGAAGAGTGGCGGAGACAGTCCAGCCCATCACTGTACAGAACTCCCTTCCACTCAGACCCTCCTCAACCACGTGCCGCCCCAGAACAGCGAATAACATACCCGAAGCCCAGACCCACCCTGGGAATGACTCTTTTCTCTCTTCTTCCTTCAGGCAGACGATTCAGGAATATTAAGGAGCAGAAGCTGCTTTCCCACAGCCACAAGACTGCGAAACTCCACCTCTTTATCCTTAATGATCAATACTCGTGATATCAACTGCCTCTTCATCCTTAATCCAGCTGCTTTTGCACTGAACTCACAATACTGCCTCTACTTGGCTTTTGCATACTGCTGCTATTTGAATGCTGATAACGATTACAGCTCTTACCCTCAGTACACTGCTGCTACTGTACTGTGCACTAGTCTCATGTACACTGCTGCTACTGTACTGTGCACTAGTCTCATGTACACTGCTGCTACCTGTAAGCATGTGCAGACTGCTGCTACCTGTATTCTCACCGCTACTTCCCGCTGTGCGGTTGACACACGTGCCTTTGTCTGACGTTCTTGTGTCTAACGATCTGTTGTGTCGTTCGTTATGCGAGGAAACGCCATCGAGCACTTCATTGTACTCCGGTAAGTATGTATGACAATACCCTTGAACCCTGAACACCATGGCTGCAGCTCCTGAGGCGTCAGCACAAGTGAAAAAGCCCCCCCCCCCCCTCGGGCACCCCTACCTGCCGGTACTCGTCCGCCTGCCCGCGGCGCAGCCGGTTGACGCGGTGCAGGTACTGCGGGGGGATGATCAGGCTGCGGAACTCCCCCAGGTCACAGCGGCCCCCATCCGCCAGGCCGGGCCTGCAGTCGTCGTGCACCGTGGTCTGGCACCAGACACACCTGCAGCGCAAGCACAAGGGGGCGCCCTGCTCAGCACCAGCACCAGGGGGCGCCCTGCTCAGCACCAGCACCAGGGGGCGCCCTGCTCAGCGCCAGCTCCAGCACCAGGGGGCGCCCTGCTCAGACCCGGTCTGCACCGGAGCCCATCGGAGACTCGGGCACTGGCAACGACGGACACTCGTCCATCACGTCTCCAATCCACCACGAACAGGAGGGGCGGCGCAGGTTCGAATCCAGGCTGTGCCACACCTGTGGCGGGGGGGGCCCGGGGGGGGGGCGGGGGGGGGGGGGGGGCTCCTGGGAGACGGCAGGCAACTGGCAGAATCGGGGGAGCAGAGCTGCCGGTTCTGTGTCTTCCCCAGAAAGGAAAGCTAAACGCCGCAGAGAGCGCATGAGGGCCTAGTGCTCAGCCTCTCTCTGGCAACTGCAATTCCCTGTTGGGCAACAGGGCCCTGCAAGCGCCGACCCAGACACGCACCGGCTTCCCCGCCAGCTCTGATGCCCCTCGACTGAGATCGCAACACCGCTGCGCTGCCAGCGCCAGCCGGGGAAACTCCGCCTCCTGAACTGGGGCAGCGGGCAGCGACACGACTGGAAAACACAACGCATCAGCCCGAGAGCTGCGGACTCTTCTATAAGCACCGCCCTCAGACGCGTCATGTCGGTCTATACAGACGTTAAAATGGTGTTTTCTCCATCAGTACACGTTCTAACACAGCCCGCAAATCAGTACGAGCCAGAATGGTTCCAGCTGTCGCTCAGCGGAGTTTCCATCGCTGTGCAGTAACAGCAGCTCATTCCAGATGTGCAGAACAAACTCCCTTCGGGGCAGAGCCTGTAGCCGAGACCCCAGGAGGTCACCCCGCTCTCACCTGTAGTCGCACAGCCGGGGCTGCGTGCCGCACTGCTGCTGGCACACCGCGCAGTAGCTGCAGAGCGGGACGTTGCCCCGGACCCAGCGGTGAGCCAGCGAGCCGTCCCCCGGGCCCGGCGCCATGATCTCCTTGCAGGGCAGGCTCCTGTCGGCGCGGCGCAGGCAGCGCTCGTCCGCGCAGACCCCGCAGCACTCGCAGAATGCGCCCTGCAGGATGTGCTGGGCGCACAGGCAGCAGTACGTGGGCTTGTTGAAGAGGTCGGTGTAGCGCCAGTCGTGCTTGCTCCGCCTGAAAATGTCCCTGATCAGCATCTTCCTGCGGGAGCGCTGCACGCTGCACCACAGCGTCAGCGCCACCGGCACCAGCACCGCCAGCGCAGTCCAAGCCAGGAGCCTCCATTCGTCCCGGGCCGGCTCGCCGCCCTCCTCCCCCTCCATCGCGCTGGTGCAGGAGAGACGCTCGTCTGCCTCTCTCTGTGCGCGGCCGCTTTGTTTACTGACGACACGGCGACTGGTTCAGCGGAGAAACACGAGCTGGTGGCCGCTCAGCACAGCGCCACGACGCAGGTGCCTCTGGGAGGGCCGTTTCCACGCATCCCGTGATTCGCGTGGCTTGCAAGAAGCCGGACGGGTTCACGCAGGAAGGACTAACGTACAGGCTCAACCGCGGGCGGCTGCTGAGACAGATCTTTGTGGAGACGAGGCTCCAGCGAAACCGGCGAATGCGAGCCCCCGTGCAGCAGACTCCGGCAGTGACCAGCCCGGCCCCCTGGGCTCACACCGCGGCCCGCGCCCCCTGCCCTCGCAAGCAGCCGCTGAGCTGCGCCTCGGCTGGACACGCAGATCCAGACACGGCGGTGTCATCCATCAATGCCCACAGCACGACCCCGACCCCCGCGCCTGCTGCAGCTGTCATGCCGGCCAATCAGCGGAAGCGGAAACCGTGACGTCACGACGCTCCTGCCCCCCGGCTCGGGCTCCGCACGCGGAAAACAGCTGCACCTCGAGATAAAACCAACTGCGCATCTACAGACCACATCCCGCAGGGCGATCAAGCACAGCTTTCACATGTTCTGTGCCGCACTGTCCTCTGCCTTTAATCAGCTCTGTGCATTCTGAAAGTTAACATGGATTAACTGGTAGGATTCGAATTTTTGCTCATGGTGTAAACAAAGTCTCCCAGCTCTGCCATCTTATCACATACAAGACAGTAATGAAACCTCCATTATGATGTGGGGACTCGTGTAGCGCTGAGCCATATCCCGACTCCGTAGAATAAAAACAAGACCGCAACAACAGGTTTGCAGCGCCGCCGAGTGGACAGGGCGCGCACTACAGCCTTAAACGTCAAAAGGGCGCTTTGATACCAGGTCCACAAGTTCGGATTTGATTTGGAGAAAAGTGTTTTCTTTCAAGTCATAACAAAAAAAAAGCACACAAAATCATATACTCAGAAGTACTAAATGCATCCTGCGCGTGTTCAGTATGATAAAGCAGGATGTGCCGGCTCGTTCCGGGGACAAGCCGCAGCAGACCCAGATGTTGCCAGCTGCGCGCTAGGCCGGTCCGGGGGGCGGGTGACGTAAGCATCTACTGGAGCCGGTCCCCCCGCGGCTCGCGCTCAGAACTGCAGCAGCAGCGGGCAGGGACACCGCTGGACATGAAGACGCTCGTGGCTCTGGTCCTGGCGCTGGTCTTGCTGACCTCCTGCACAGGTAGGAAGAATCGCCGTTTTACACGTGGGAAAGGCAGCAGATCGCTTTCAGATCTGATCACATTTTGAAACTGAATTATCTATAAAATGACTGGGTGCCTTCGCTTAGTGTGGCAGTTTGATATAAAGTGTATATTCCACTTAAAATATAATTGATGAACCTTTAAAATATATTGAAGAAATGCATACCCGTATTAATAATACCCATATCATATGACTCTCGAGAGTAGCGATAAATCCATGAAATAGCCCACTGATCCGTGGGCTGCGCAGATTCCTAAAGGAAGAAAGATTTTAAAACGCGCTGCAGTGCTGCTGGTCTTCCCTGTGTCCTCGCATTGCTGTACTGGACTGTCCGTTGAAAGGACATTTCTCCCGGAGGATCACGAGGAAGCCCGCTGTGGAAACAACACGAGTGCACGCTGGTCACGTCTGCTCAGACTGGTGTGGCCCCGTGAGAGAAGAGGCCCGAGTGGAGCAGCAGGTAGCTCTGGCCACGTCAGCGAGTGCCTGGGCTGCCGAAGGGGCCTCCGCAGGTCTGGCGCAGCTCTGTGCTCCAGAGGGGCCGGGCAGCTGAAAGGGCCCTTTGTTAATTCACCAGGAGGGGCCCCTGCTCCAGGTCAGAGCGGGATTCCGCGTCGGGAGGACAGAGGCTGCCTATTTTCCGGGAGCTGCAGATTAAAATCAGTCCCCACAGCACAGGGAGTCCTGACCCCCTGCTGGATCGGCCTGCGTGGGCACTGGGGGGTCAGCTCTGTCCCTCACCCCCCAGGTGGAAAAGTGCTGGGCTCTGTTCTCAGAAAAAACAAAGACTGGCCTGTTTTCAGATTTGTTTTCAGAATTTATTTTCCTCCAGTCCAAAATCTCCCCTTTTGTTTTCTAATGTGAAGTCGGGTGTAAGGAAATGAGAAACTAGCCAGGAACAGCAGAGAAGGAGTTTAGGGAGGAGATGAATGTTAACACTTGTCTGGTTCAAACTTCATAACAACCAGAGCCTGTCTGGGACCGTGAGTGCCCGGGAGATGCCTGGTGTTCCTCTCCTGAAGATTAGAACAGAGAAGGATAAAACACACTGTTGCACACTTTCAGTTCACAATGGAAGTCTCATTTCCACCCAGGTTAATCTCCCATTCTGTCTGTATGGTCTGTATTCTCTCTGTATGGTCTGTGCTCCCTCTGTATGGTCTGTATTCTCTCTGTATGGTCTGT